AATAAATACTAACATTATCGACCTCCCACCATACATGATAAAGTTTAGCTTGTCCATTAGCCAACACATATGATTCTTGTCGTTGATTCTTCAAGTGAACTACGTGAAAAGACGTCGGCATAATTGTATATCGCGTATTTTTTTTATTTTTCTTTAATTTCCTTACTATTAGAAGACGTGACACCCATGCATCAATATGTTGTTTTACAAAAAAAGACATATATTAGTGAATTACATAAATTTAAAAAAAATAATCAAAATGAAATATAAGAAGAAATATAAGACTTACCCCCCATCGAAATAACATTTGTCTTCAACCCCTAATAACACACCCCACCAAGACCGATCAATCAACAAATGCATATAATTGTTGAGTTTCTATATGTCAGCATAACAACCTTGGCTCCGCTCATGTAGATAAAAATCAACTGCGGTCTTAACCCAAAGGGTATTATCCAGAATTATTTCTGGTAGTTGTTTCCTCTCCACTTTATCTGCCAGAATGGTACTGGCCGGTAACTCATACGAAAGCCAACAGTCATCCATCATGTCCGGCACGTGAGGGGGTTTCTCAATAATTCGACATATTACGCCGTATGAATCGGGCTCTTGAATGGTGGGAGGGACCTCTTCAATGATGACAGGGGGCCTCTTGAACGATGGGAGGGGACTCTTGAGGGATGATAGGGGCCTCTTGAACGATAGGAGAGGCCTCTTGAACGATGACAGGTGAATCGGGCTTCTTCTTACGGAGTCTTCGCACTATTAGGGTGAACAGAGACGTAATGGCACGTGTACGCCGTCTGATGCGTGAACCCCGTCGTGCAAGAAAAACCCGACGTAAAGCATCCACCTTATCGGGCCGCTAAAAATAAATTAATACATAAATCAGTAAATAAACAGACATGATATTAAACAGTGAAAACAAAGACAAATATGTTTCAAACTTGCACGGTATTCACCCAAGTCATTATTCTATCATAGTTCACAAAATGCATCAGATAACATTCCGGAAGTAAGCACTTATAAACATTTAAAAGGATAACATATAGGTTTAGTGCATGTTCAAGGACAACATAAAGAGTAGTAGTTTATTCTTGAAACTTAAATTTGCAACACTATAAAGTTAGTGTTTGTCTTTGTCTTTTGGTTGAAGTAATCCATCCATTCAGTTCAATTTGCAGAAGAAGAATAGTTTCTGAAACTTAAAATCGCAACACGAAACTTAAATCGCAACGCGAAAATGACTATCGCAACGCGGAAATGACTATCGCAACGGGATAATCGTAATGCGAAATAAAAATCGCAACGCGAAACCGTCATTTTCGAATTGCGATTTTCACGTTGTGATTTTTATTTCGCATTGTGATTATCCCATTGCGATAGTCAACTTCGCGTTGCGATGGTCATTTCTGCGTTGCGATAGTCATTTCCGCGTTGCGATAGTCATTTTTGCGTTGCGGTTTAAGTTTCGTGTTGCGACTATTCTTTTTCTGCAAATTGAAACTTGAATGAATTGCATTACTTCAACCTAAAGACAAATACTAACTTCACAGGGTTATTTTAGAACTGTTTAGCAGTATTGGTAGCAACCGAATGAATTTACTAAGCAATCTAAGTGAAATGGTTAATCTAAGTGAAATTACGAGTAAATCAAGTTAAATATAAAAAATCTTAAACTTACCTCGTTGCGTAGAGTATGAACCTCATTATGCAACAATACTACCACCTCACGTAGAGCCGCTACCTCACCACGTAAAGTAGATATCTCGTCACGCCATGCACCATTGTCATCGCGTAAAGTACCGACCTCCTCACGCAAGGCATTGACCTCATCACGTAACTCCCCTAACTCATCTCGTAGAGGTGGAGAACAGGGAGATAAATGTCGTGGCATCTTTGCCAGTCGCCTATCATGAGGTGATGGTTGAGAAGAGGCTCGATGATGTGACGGAATAGGTTATGGCTCTCGTTGTAGAGGTATATAGTGTGGTCGATCAGGTGATGGCTCTGGGTGAGGTGATGGCTCTCGAAGTGGAGGCTGCTCATCATTCGTGCCATCAAAAAAACGCTTACTAGCTTGCCACCAATCAGTGGCAAGCTTAGCCTCCGTGGGTGTCAGCCTCTGTAATGGAGTGTTGGCCTCCTAACAATATAAAAGCTCAAACAAAGTTAAACGTGTACTAGTAATAACTTGTTTATATATATGGTAGTATTTGTGTTAACTTACATCATTTATTGTCATATACCGTAGTAACTCTTCCCAAATCAACAGTCGTCGTTTCCTCTTCCAAGAAATAGCTCTAGGAATATCATTTGAAGTTTTTAATGCATATGTCTGCATGTCGGGAAAAGCCTCAAATATCCAAATCTACAAAAACAATATAATACACAAACATTAGTAATTGATAAATAATTAATTATAATTTTGGAAACATTATATAGAAATTCTTACCTTAAAGGCCCAAATAAAGCCTGACAAAGTGTATTTGGAACCATTGTCACGCAAACTTTTGCGGTCATCAAAGGCAGACGACAACTTATTCCTGGTAGCTTTCCATAGATACGAACCCCACGGAAACAAGTTCCATGCATTTAGGTCCTCTACCAATAATATTAGGTCCTTAGGAATAGGTTGTCTGGCCTCTCTGCCTAAAAAGCCGGCATGCAAAAGTACTAAAAGGCATACTCGGACAACATCGACGTCATCCATCCGAGTAAAACCATCTTTCTTATTCAATAATCTCGTCAAGTCATCGATGTATAAATTCGGTTTCTCCATTGACAGCTCAGGAAAAACCCAGGATAACCATGATGGGCGGGTAATATGACTAGTGTATCGACCTACATCATCATGTCCGAAGCGTAGACCAGTGATTAAGCAAAACTCCTCCCGCCCAAAACACGTATATGCCGGTGGAAAATGAAACCATATCTCTTCATTACCACGTTTTATACTCTCGGGTAGATCGCTAGTCATGGTCTGAAGCCACAAATGGGTCAACATAGCATCTCCACCCGGATGTTGTACTTTCAGCCATGGCCCGAAGCAAGTATCCTCAAACAATGTTCTTTGTACAGGTGAAAGCTTCGACGCAATTGTAGTGACTAGGCTTATTTTATTCCTTAAGGTCAATTGAGCCGAAAAAAAGTTCTACAAAAACAATAAACATACCAAGTTAGATTAAAAACTACACTGTGAAGATATACCAAAAACAATAAAGAGTAGTAGTAGTTTATTCTTCAAACTTAAATTTGCAATACTGTGAATTTCGTATTTGTCTTTGTTTTTTGGTTGAAGTAATGCAATTCATTCAAGTTTCAATTTGCAGAAGAATAATAGTTTCTGAAACTTAAAATCGCAACACGAAAATGACTATCGCAACGCGAATTTGACTATCGTTGCGATTTTCATTTCGCGTTGCGATCCTCAGTTTCAAATAGTCATTGTCTAAAATTGAAACTTGAATGAATTGCATTACTTCAACCAAAAGACAAAACAAAGATAAATACTAACTTTACAGGGTCAAATACTAAACAGTTTAGCAGTATTGGCAGCAATCGAATGAATTTAATAAGCAATCTAAGTGAAATGGTTAATTTATTATTGAAATTACCAGTAAACTTATCATCAATTTCAATATGAAAAACCTAATAATAATGCAAAATTTTCAAAATAAAAATAATTAAAAAAACTAACCATCGGTGGTTTATTTGGTTGATTTTCCATTTCTGATCGTGAATGATTGTGAGGGTGGCTCAGAAAGATGGAGATAGACGGATTTTGTCAGAGATGTGGACGGATTTCGTCGGAGATGGGGACGGATGACGCCGTAGAGAGTGAGAATGGAGATGGGACTGAGTTGTGATTTAGGTTTTTAGGTTAAGAGTTGCGATTACGGGATGTATTAATATTTGTGTTTGGAATTTGAAAATAAAATACGCGTTGCGATACTAATGGCGCTTTGAAAATCGTATTGCGATAGTCAGAATCGCGTTGCGATTATCGCGTTGCGATAGTCAGAATTGCGTTGCGATTATGTATTATCGCGTTGCGATTTACATATTCGCATTGCGATTTTACAAAATCGTAATGCGATAGTCAAAATCGCGTTGCGAATCTGGAAACTGATTTGCGATACTGGAGATCGCGTTACGATTTAGAGATCGCATTTCGATTTTGTTGGTCATTTTGGCAAATCGAAAAAAAGTTGGTCAAAATCGTATATTATAATAAATTTTCGGTCACTGAGGTTATTTTCTCTAATTTTAATTTGTGTCTTATTTTTACTATTAAACTTTAAAAATATATTAATTTTAGATATTAATTTTTTTATTACCACTGATGTCCAATTATTATTCATCATATCATCATTTACGATAAAATTAGTATTAAAATACTTATGTTTCATTTTTTCAGATTAATTTTGAAATATATATTTTAAATTATCGAAACAATATTTCTCATCATTTAAATTTTAGTATAAACAACATAAACCTTCTCAAATTAAAAAAAAATCATGCATTATTCTCAAATTATTTATAAAAAAAAATCAACTACCGAAAGATCTTTTTAAAAAAAAAAATATTTATTTGAGCTGTTGAAAATTATGTTAAAATCGATTAAACTCAATGGGTTGAATGACGATTCAATTTGAAATGAAAAGAAAAGTGAGTTTCACATGGCAATTTGCCCGTTTGAGAAGTTAGCGAATAGCGAGAGCCATTATAGCTAGGTGTCAAGGTTATAAACTATAGAAATTGTCAAATTGATGATTAATAGTATATTTCGTTTTAGTATTTTGGCGTAAACACCAAAACAAAGGAATTGCTCATTTGCTTTCTCCAAACCGATTGAAAGGTGCTCTTCATCTTCTCAAAAACTATCAAATTGCCATTGATGAATGCTTAAACATTTGAGAGAAACCCTAATTTCACCCAACTTCCTTAAATATTTGTGAAACAGATGATTTCTTATTTCTTTTTTTTTTCAGAAATGATGGCTCAATACAAAACCAGTTCCTCCTAGCAAACAAACAGACAGTTTTCTTGGCCCTTTATCACTGAAACAACCAACATGATATCTCTCCTTATGATTACAAATAGAATCCTTCCCACATTTAAAAACCCAAACTCGGATTTTTATATCCTTTCATCAGATGTTGGGATGGAGGAAATAAAAAAAAATGTTAGATGAACGCGCTTACAATCAGTGTATTGTTTAGGAGGAATAACCTCAATAATCCATGCCCCCCATACCGCCGGGCATTGTCGGAGCATCCTTCTCATCCTTGGGAAGTTCGACTACAATGGCTTCGGTTGTTGTCATCAATGAGGACACACTGCACCAGAATGGAAACAGACTCAGTTACTTTCAGGAATCCCGATCGATAATGCAATCCTAGAAAACAGATTTACGGCGACTTACCTTGCAGCATCAACCAAAGCAGTTCTTATTACTTTCAATGGATCAATGATTCCCGCCTTCACCATATCGACATATTCACCTGGTTATGTAGCAAAGATAGGAGTATAAGCTATGTTATTTTCGTAGAACAGTAAATAAATACGATGAAAGTAACTCGTAAGAGATTCACATACCCTTAGCTGCATCATACCCGAGATCAGGGTTATCCTGCTCTAACAGTTTACCGACAATAACGGCTCCCTCGACTCCAGCGTTTGAAGCAATTGTGTGCACAGGTGTCTGCAACAGAAAATTCATTTATAAGGGAGACCGAAACCTCACATCAAAATCATCAGCGTTTTGAAACTTTATAGTGAAAGAGCGGTCTAAATTTTTCAACAGTATAACGAGAATATAATTTTCAGAGTTTGATCCATCGGACATGAAGAAAAGGTTCACAAACCTTTAGAGCATTCTGGATAATTTGAACACCGATCTTCTGGTCAAAGTTGGCCGTAGGTAGCTTGTCCAACTCTTTCGATGCATACAAAAGAGCGACACCACCACCTAGATGGTACAATTCCTTTAGTAATGTTTCCATGATATTCCAAGTTCAACTGAAACTTCATGAAAAAACATTATGACTTTAAAAGTTAATTACCTGGCACAATACCCTCTTCTACAGCTGCCTTTGTAGCGTTTAATGCATCTGTAACTCTATCCTTCTTCTCGCTAACTTCAGCTTCACTAGCTCCTCCGATCTGGTAATGTCCAACAAGTTATGGGCTTCATCAACTCCATTTAAGTAAGCAGCAAATAGGAACCGAACAGCAATTGCATTTCGAAGTAAGACAAGTTAAAAACACCAATAACTAACACTACCATACCTTCAAGACAGCTACACCACCAGAAAGCTTTGCCAATCTCTCTTGCAACTTCTCTTTATCATAATCAGAGGTGCTCAATTCAATTGCTGACCTAATCTGTTATCGTGAAAGACTGTTATAATCTGAACAATTAATGAAATCATGTCTAGCTCGTGAATCAAAAGATCTACACACAACTGTTTGTAAAAGAACAAAACCTGTTCACATCTTTCTTCAATGGATTTCTTGTCACCATTCCCATCAAGAATAACAGTGTCATCCTTTGAGACCGTAACCTTTAGCAGCCAAAAAAAAAACCATCATGCATCAATAAAGATGTCCGTCCCCATACACAAAAAGGGATTCAATAGTTTGTTTACTGAAGTCATTAAATAGGAAAATGATGGAATATCACATTGGGCAAAGACTTTCGCATCCAGACTATAGATATTAACCTTTTTGCAAGTTCCAAGCATGTCCAGATCCACCTTTTCAATGTTCATGCCAAGTTCTTCAGTTATAACCTACACCCGAGAAGTAACAGATAACATCAGCAAGAGGTTATGAAAATTCATGTCAGAGAAACTACACACTATGAACAAGATACTATCATATAGAAGAAAGACGAAATTGTCCTACCTCCCCTCCTGTGAGGACAGCAAGATCATGCAGACTAGCCTTCCTGTTTTCTCCAAAACCTGGGGCTTTGATGGCACAGACCTGCACCATGATTAATACATATATATTCACAAGCATTCCTTAAAAAGAGGAGAATTAACGCAGGAAATCAGGGGGGAAATCATGTCTGACTGAAAATCAAACCTTGATTCCAGCACGAAGCTTATTAAGAATGAGTGTAGCAAGTGCTTCACTCTCTACATCTTCAGCAACGATCAACAAGGGCCTTTGCCTCTGAACAAATAAAACATAGAAGATATTAGTGTTATGAATGAAATTTAATTTCAATACAGTTTTAATGAGAAAAACATCTAAGTGAATGCAGATTAATCAAAAGTAAGCATGCATGATTTGTTAAAAATTTGCTTACCTTTAAAGCCAACTCTAGTACTTTCACAACAGCATTCAAGCTTGATATTTTCTTCTCGTGAATTAGGATAAGAGGATCATCTAATTCCTGCCATAACAAAATGAATTGAATTAGCATCGTAACTTGATCAAAACTCGAGGCTCGTGAGATTTTCCAGTTCTATCAAAGGAGAAATGAGTTACTTACACATTTTTGGTTTTTCGTATTGGTGATGAAATATGGAGATATGTAGCCCCTGTCCAGCTTCATGCCCTCAACAACTTCCAACTCATTAAATAACGTTTTTCCATCCTGAAAAGGTTTTGCCCACGGTAAGACATCATATCAGGTAAAAACAGTTCAAAAATTTCAATATATTGCCAGCATGAGCAATCAACAATTTATGAATCAAAGCCAATATGAAATGATGGTAGTGATACCTGAATTGTTATCACCCCTTCTTTGCCAACCTTCTCCATGGCCTTTGCAATTAATTCGCCAATTTCCCTCTCTCCATTAGCAGATATTGTTCCAACCTATTACAAAATACTTAAGTTTAAGCCCTAATAGATCAAAGTTCACTACCATTTTACTTTTGATTCTAAAGTACTGCATCATTCTGACTGCAATAAGCTTTTGATGGAAGCACTTTCAATTGTAAACCAACCTGGGCTATCTCTTCAGATGTGCTAATCATCCGTGCTCGGCTTTTCAAGTTTGTCACAACAGTGTCAACTGCCATTGTTATGCCACGCCTCAGGTCCATTGCATTCATTCCTGCAGCAACTGACTTGCATCCTTCTGTGAATATTGCTCGTGTAAGCACGGCCGCACAGGTAGTCCCTGCAAAAATGTCAAGAATTTCATGACTCGGCTCTCTACATATAAACCACACATATGCATTCAAATCTGAATGTATAGGCTGAAGAATTAATACATGCAAAAATAATGCATCAATTCAACACTAGATTTAGAGATCAATAACCACAAGTATCTAAATCAGAGTGAAGAATTTCGAATGAATCAATAAATTAGAAAGAAAAAGACACTCGCTTCCTTACCATCACCCGCTACATCGTTAGTGGCATTTGCAACTTGTTTCACAAGACTCGCACCAACGTTCTTGACTTTGTCTTTGAATTCAATGCTCTTTGCAACAGTTACACCATCTTTAGTTACTTTGGGGGAACCATAGCTTTGTTCAATAACCACATTCCGTCCCTATCAATAATGACATTAATAAAAGTTCCATCACATTATAAATACATAACATCAGCCCTTTCTTCATCAATATTCCTACCCCTAAATATTGCCAATGATTAGCCTTCAAACCGTGATGGTATACATAAAGAAAACAACTCGGAAATGAAAACGGCTCGTATTGGATTTACCTTAGGACCCATGGTTACTCTAACAGCATCAGCAAGCTCTTCGACACCTTTAAGCATCAAAGCTCGAGCTTCAACCCCAAATTTAATATCTTTTGCTGCATAGTTCCTATTCCAACTCAGTCTACTACCAATCTAACACACACCCAAAGTAGAAATCAACAAAATAAAGATCAAATCAACCTTAAAACTAAAAATAACAATAAAAAGATTGTAACTACAGGTAAATTAACTACCTGATGTGTAGTTTTCCTAGCAACCCTGAAACCAAAGATTGAAAAATAGAGAGAAAGCAAGTTAGATCATTTCAAAGGAACAAAAAAAAAATTGATAAATGAAGTAATTGGCATGGAAGTAGTACCTAGCTTTGGAAGCGAGGCTTGAAGCAAAACGATACATGTTGATTAGTTTGGGAGGACAAAGGTTGAGAAAAGAATGTTAAAAGTGGAAGCTTTGGGGTGACAATAGGAAGGTTGCAGGGTCTGTGTTTTAAAAGAGGAGGAAATCCAGAACAGAGATGGGAGAGAAGAAGGGTCTAGAAGCAGCAGCAGCAGTGTACCCAGCACTCCACTAGTTTCTTAATCATAGGGTTTAGGGTTTTGCCATTTCATATTTTCATTGATTTTTTAAAATATCGTAGAAGATGAATGAATTAGGATGTGGGCTGTATTCTTATTTCTTATAAAATAATACATCAAGGGTAAGTATTCGGTAGGTGGAGTCGAGCTAAATTTTTTTATTTAGTCGAGTTAATGAATTATACTTTATAATTTAAAATTTAAATTTTTTGATGTAGAATTAAGTTTATGAATTTCGAGTCGAATGAAGTCAAGCCAAGTTGTTAAAATCTCTATTTAAATTTAATTGTACATATTTATAATGCCATGATATTATTTAATTTCAATTTAAATGATTTTTTATAACTATGTACAATATACATATTTTCTTCATATTTTTTATATGCGATATACTTATATTAAGCATAGTTGTGAGATTTGACTGAAACTTGAAAATAAATCCACTAATTACTATAAATTTAGAGTTATTCGAGTTCTATTTTATAATTCAACTCAAATTTAATTTTTTTAGTCGAATCAGGTTTATGAAATTAAAATTAATTCAAATCGAGTCAATCTTTTTTACATTGAATCAAAAAATTTAATTACTATAAATTTAGAGTTATTCGAGTTTTATTTTATAACTCAACTCGAATTTAATTTTTTAGTCGAGTCAAGTTTATGAAATTACAAATTAATTCAAATCGAGTCAGATTTTTTTACATTGAATCAAAGAATTTAATTACTCTAATCAAGTCAAGTTTTATTCACTCTTAACGCAACTTTAATTTTTTAAAAAATAACATATATATAAAGCAAGGTGATGGATGCGAAATTGATATTATTTATTTTTTTATTATTCAATTTTTAAAATTTTTTTGCATGATATCACATTTTAAACTTTGGCGTTGTTACTCTAATTTTTTAATGATGTTATATATAAATACTGGAATAGTTAATGAAATTAAAGTATATGTATTAGTTTGTGGGGGAAAATGTGTCAAGTATAGGGACAAATTTAGTAATTAGTTGGAATGAAGAATTGAGGGATTAATTTGCTCAATACAATTTATATAGGGATCGATTCGCTCATTTTCACTATATGAAGCAAATATATAATTATCACCTAATGCATGGGTTCTTGTGGTACTTTTACATTTTTTCCTTTTTTAATTATGAATTTAGTAACGAACATATCAATTTTCTTCTGAAAGTTACAAAGAGGTAATTTAATTAAAATATTATTATAAATTTATTATTACGTCGTTAAAATTAAAAAGGATGTATGTTGTGGTATGATATAATAATTTTTACTTCATAAAATTTATATATTCTATTAATTTTGTCATAATTCTTTTTCAATTTTTTGGGGTCATTATTCGAAACATTCAATAGATTTAACTATCCATATTTAAAAACTTCATCAACTTAATCTTTTTTATACGATCAAACTGAGCGAGTCCATCATATCAAAACAATAGTTGGATAATTGCATTATGCCATAAAGTGGCAACAAACTATTGTTAAATTATTATTATATCTATAAAGTAACAATAAAGTAATATAACATTTTAGAAGAAAAACAAGTAATTTAAGACAAGGAAGAAGATTTAAATAATGAAAATTTCCACTATGAATAATTTTATCGTATTATTTCAAATTAGGACCTAAGTAATGGATTTTATAAATTTTAAGGACAAAAAATGCTAATTTATCGTATTATTTGTAATAATATTGTATACTCAATTTAGGGTTTTGAACTCTTAAATTAAAGGTTTAGACTTTTAGGGTGATTTCAATGGTGATTTTGGTGTTGAAGAAGATGAAGGGAGCTTGATGTTTTCTTGCCTATTTAATTGCTAAATTTAAGCCAAATAAAAGAAATATAAAAAATTAAAGAGTAATTGCATCACACATCCTTAAACTATTACCCTCATTTTATATTGGTCCTTAAACTTTTGAATATTCCAATTTAATCCTCAAACTCTGACTCTAATTCTAAATTAATCCCTAAACTTTTGAATATTCCAAAATCATCCCAAACTATGATCCCCATTCTATATTGGTCCCTAAACCTTTAAATGCTCCAATAATGTCTCCCAAAATCATTCAATATGTAAAGGTTTAGGTACCAATTTAGAATGAAAGTCATTGTTGGGGGGTTATTGTGCAATAAACTCAAAATTAAATTATAAGAATTTGTCACTTATGTAGTTTATTCACCAAAAAGAAAATGGTGAAATCATAGAATCAATCATTCATATTTTCATCCTTTTCAAAAAACCATTACATGATTTAATTAGCCTTTAATCACTTATCTTTTTCCTTTTGTTTTCATTTGAACACCTAAGTTTTTCCTTTTTTTTTTACTAAAGTCGTGATATTCTTCATTTATCACATTTAGCCCTTAAATCATTTTCAAAAGAAATTATACTTTAATCATATTTATTCAATGAATTTAATCTCATTTTCAGATATTCAAAAACATAGAAATATCTATTAGAAAAAAATTCAATCATCAACATCAAAAAAATATTTAGATCGGTTTTCGAGATTATACAAGTTGAATTTCATGATAAGTGACATTATAATTCTGAATAAGTATGATTATATAATGAAGTAAAATTGGGTAAGATTGTGACATAAAAATTAACTGAGTATTTGATATTTCTTTTTAGCTTATGCAGAATTCTTGTATGTTATACCACAAATAGGATCATAAGAGATTATATATATATTGTATGGTACGGGCTTCTCATGATATGATATGTTAAGTACACTTGAAGAAATATGATTCATTGGTGAATGATAAAAGTTCATTATTAGTACAACACATTAGTGGTATGTACAAGTGTTTTGTTTTGTCTAAATTATTATTTAGGATTGTGTTAGTTTGAGCTTGTTATGCTTGTTCGTGATGTGGTTCGTAGTCCTTCTATGATGATATGGTATGCCATGCGAATGATTGAATGCATGCTTGGATGTAGGTAGGAAGAGTTATGCCTAGCTAAGATTAAAATGAAAGATGACCAAGTGAATAGTAATTAGGTGAACTTGATTGTGCTTCATTTTAGTTAATTTCCCTTAATATGCTTCATTTTTTGCAATTTATCATCCAAATTAGGATGTGTTATCAAAATTAGGTATGTGTTATTTGATGTTTAAAACATGTTCATGTATGTTAGAAAGCATAAAACTTGTGGAATTATAATTTTGCCTCAAAACTCTTAAATGTTTGCAAAAGGGTCCTTACCACCTAAAATTGATTTGAAATCGATTGTTTGAGCTCTACAATTATTCTGAATGATTTGGATTGGCCTAAATATTATTGTAAATTAAAAATTTGTCTCAAATATCCAAATGTGACCAATCTTATAAAATTACAATTTAGTCTTTAAAATTTTCAAAATTTATAATTAGACCCATGTGCGACACGTCTTCTCTATAATGTTTGTTCAGGATATCTAAGTTCTAATCTTCCATGTTCATTGTATGTTTTGCTATATTTTGTGTTTGCAAATTTCTAACTATAATTAAGTTTTAATTTGATCAAATTATCAAGTTTTTCTTTCTCGTGATTGCATTAATACTTAAATAATTAATATTCTTTTGATTAGTTAAATAATTAATGTTAGATTGTAAAAATTTAATATAATTTCTATTCACATATGTGACATCTCCAATTCATGTCTCACTTTCAAATAGAGAAAAATAATTATATATAAGATATTTAAAAAAGCTAATTCATATAACAATCTTTTAGCTTTTTTTTGTTGGATAGAACACAACAATTATGATAAGATTAATATAATAAAATTAATTATTATTTTGTCACTTTAATTATATAATTTTTAATTTTGTTAAAATATATAATCTTTCGCCATAACCATAAACTTGTCTTTTGTAGTATTGAATTTAAAAAAAAATATTTAGGAAAAAGAAATAGGGTTTCAAGCAGGGGAAGGAAAAATGAAGGAAACGAACTGAAAATGGACGGAATCAAAAGTTTAATCTTTAAACTATTGCAATTTGAGGGAACTTTCTGGTGAAAAACAATGAGGTGAAGAAAACCGGATTGAAAAATGAGAAGAAAGTGTCGGATTTGGTGGCCAAAGCAGCTGTCTTCAGCCCAACTATCTTGCTGTAAATTTCTGTTTGGTTGGTTCGTGACTTGTTCTTCGGATTCTCTTGACATTGTCGTCGCTTTCGCTTCCAATCACAAGTCTTCTTCGAATCTGCAATTTGGTCTCCAGGTAATGCAGTAATTTCTGATTCCATTCTGTGAAGGTTTTATGAATTCTAATTGCTTAGGGGAAAATGGAATTTAGGAATCGAAGAAAATAATTTAGTACTTCTGTTGTTGAAGTTATTTTTTGCTGAGTTTGTAATGCTTCAGGCAGACCACTAATTCTGGTTTTAGTTTGTAAAGATTTTATGAATTATAATTGTTTAGGGGAAAAGGGTACTTAGCAATTGAAGATATGAAAATAGTTGGTGTGTTTTTGAAGTTAGAGTTTGTAATGCTTCTGGTAATGTACTATTTTTTCCATTATTTTTATTTTTAAGAAGTTTATGCATGAATTATAATTGCTTAGGATTCGGGGTACTTCGAAATTAACGAAACAAAATTGATTCTTGGGTTAAAGTTAGATTTTGTAATGCTTCAGGTAATGTACTAATTTTTCCATTATTTTTATTTTTAAGAAGTTTATGCATGAATTATAATTGCTTAGGATACAGGTTACTTCGAAATTAAAGAAACAAAATTGATTCTTATGTTATGGAACAGTTATCTTGCTGAGCTTGTTTGGCGTCTGGACATGGTTTAATTTCAGGAGTTTATTTGAAAATGTTGGTTTTCTTTTCTTGTTAACAGGAGATCCTCGATTCTATAAATGGAAATATGCATGTATCTCTTCAAGATAAATCAAAATTTTCTTTGTTGGGTCAGTATAGAGCTTGTCTCGGATATGGTCAAAATAGAGTAGAAGAGCATGATATGAGAAGCTCCTGTGCTCACGGTGTAGATGAAGTTAGCAAATGCTGTGGACAATGGAG